CGGATAATCGAGGGAGAAGAACCACCATTGCAAGAAGAAAACACCAATGAAATCTAGGAACCTGAAGCAGAAATTGATGACATCCTACTCATAGATCCGCATAATCGTGAATACGAAGATGTCCCTGATCACTCAGCGGACGACGGTGTTGAGGACGAGTTTGCCAAAAATGATGATGTTTCTACGGATTATGAGAATGTATCCGAATGAATTATGTATGTTTTATAAGTTTGTTTAATCACAAAAACCAATTTCAATTAAGTATGTTTTATAAGTTTGCTTAATAACAAAAAATGAGTTGAATTACGTATGTTTTAAGGTTGTTTAATAAAAAAAATGAATTTGGGATTTAGGTGTAGAAGAGGTTAGGAGTTTAGTTGTAGAAGAGGTTATAAGTTAAGGAAGTTGTGGTTTGGGGTTTCGAGTTTAGGGATTTACAAACCCTTTCCTCGTAAAGCCCTAGTAATAGAAAACACGGGCATAGCTATTTCCTCGTAAGCATTACTAGGGCTTTACGAGGAAAAAAATGCGGGCATAGCTATTTCCTCGTAAAGATGTTTCCTCGTAAAGTCCTAGTAATGTTATTTCTAGGACATTAGTAGGACCTTACGAGGAAATGGAAACACGGGCATAGCTGTTTCCTCGTAAAGCCCTAGTAACATTACTAGGGCTTTACGAGGAAACAAAATTCCTTATATATACACGAGCAATCCGACTTCTCAGTCATAGTAACCTCCTCTCCATATTCTCTTAATGTACTCTCTATTTCCTAGTTAGGTGATTAGATTAGGGAATTTAGATTAGGTGGTTAGTTTAGGGAATTTAGATTAGGTGGTTAGTTTAGGGAATTTAGATTAGTTGGTTAGATTAGGAAATTTAGATTACGTTAGTTTAACTGTTTTTAAAAATTATACAAAATTATACGAGAATTAATATTTTCTGTTTTGTTTTTTAAATTTAGATGGTTAGAAAGAGCAAAGTTGCTCCTGCTCAGTCCAGGAGGCCTCTAGATCAAGGGATTCATTATGGAGATCTATTCGGGCCCGGTTCGTCTTCGTCAGCTCCCGGTGGTTCATCTTCAGGAGTTCCCGAGACCCAGGGCGGTTTTACGGCATCCCGGTCTCAGCAGCCACCTCCTCCGCCTCCTCCTCCTCCACCGGTCGGGATTCATCCTGATTTGCAGGTGCCCCCGAACGCACCATTTGCGGTGTACACGGTGGAGGATATTTTGGCCCTTCCAGGCAGAGAAGGGCTACCAGAGTTAGATCCAATCCGACGGGACGGCCAAAACGTATTAGGGTATGTTTTAATTTTTAAAAAGTTTTATTAATTTTTAAAAAGTATTATGGTATATGTTCTAATTAATGATTTATTTTCTGTCTTTCCAGGTTTGGCCTTGACAATTGTGTCGGATCTAGCGTCACAGACTGTATCAAGGGATACTTTCCCGATGCAGCTCCAAACTGGAAGCTGACGGCGAGCCACACCAAAAAGACGTGGTTCAAATCGTTCGCTGTAAGTTTAGTAAATCAATTTAATTTATTTTTAATCATTTAAAATGTCGAATATTATTGAACTAATCCGTCTTTTATTTTTTCTGGTTGCAGCAAAAATACCGNGTCACAGACTGTATCAAGGGATACTTTCCCGATGCAGCTCCAAACTGGAAGCTGACGGCGAGCCACACCAAAAAGACGTGGTTCAAATCGTTCGCTGTAAGTTTAGTAAATCAATTTAATTTATTTTTAATCATTTAAAATGTCGAATATTATTGAACTAATCCGTCTTTTATTTTTTCTGGTTGCAGCAAAAATACCGTTGGTCTATTGGGATTCACCAGCGGGTGAAGTCAGAGTTCGAGGCTAAGGCAAAAGCACGATTGTGCGATATAGTCTACAACTGAAATGGCGACTTTCAGGTATAAATTTATAAATTATAATATATTTATAGTTTTAAAAATATATATTATTCACTTTAATTATAATTATTTTAAATCAGGTGGACGGTTACGAGCGCGGGAAACCCAATTGCCTCACAACCACGGTGTGGGATGGCCTCATCAGTTATTGAGCGTTGCCGGACTCGATCAGAACCTCCCAGACAAACTCCGAGAACCGCATGACCACAGACGAGCATGGCAACACGAAGATGCTTCACAACACGGGCCGAAAACCTCACGGGGGAGTTCGTCTAGACATGATAATTTTTATAACTATTTAATTTTTAATTACTTTATTTGAATATTCTAATATTCTAAATTAATATTTAATTTTTTTAAAAAAATTAAGGCTAAAGAGACAGGAGTTCTTCCATCTCTGAATGACCTTTACGAGCGGACCCACCGAAAAAAGAGTGGGCAGTTTGTAGATCCTGCTTCCGAGCGGATCTACAACGAGGTTGATGCCCGAGTTGACGAACGCCAGACCTAGCTGACTCAGCAGACTGGGGCTCCGGTCGTATTATCCACTCTTGAAGTGGATAAGATTTACGAGGAGGTAAATAATTTGTTTTAATATAATAATTTTTATTATTTATTTAAATTTTTCCTTACGTTATTAATATTTTTATTTACAGGTCGTCCCTAGGAAAAAGGGCCGTATTGTTGGGATTGGCTCGGTTAACGATGTCCCGGCAGTGACATCGGCTTATGTTCACCAACAAGCCGATGCCAATGCTCAGCTGCGGACGGAGTTACAGGCGACGCAGGCTCATGTGAGTACGCTCACCGATATCCTCGACATTATGGCGGTTGGAAACCCGCAAGTGGCGAAGATGTTGCGTCAGAGACGGGAAAGAGGAGCGCTTCCATCCCAACAGCCTCCACCATCTCAGTCACAGCCGGCATCCAACATTGGAGACGACGACTTCGTGCACCAATTTCAAGACCATCATCCCTTTTAGTTTTTTTTTAGTTTTTAATTGTATATTATGAATTTTAAAACTTATTAATTGTATATTATTTAGTTATTTATAAATATTTTTTTATTTATTTTTTTATTTATAATTTGGTTTTTTAAATTTTTTTTAATATATATAATTTTAATTTATATTTTTTTTTTAAATAGGAAAAAATTGTTTCGAAGCAAAATCCTCGTAAAGATTTCGAAGTAAACTCCTCGTAAACATTCCTAGCAAGTTCCTCGTAAAGAGTCTACTACGAGATTACGAGGAAATAGTTTACTATGCCCTTACGAGGAAAACTTACGTGGACTTTACGAGGAAACCTTTTCCACGCGTTTACGAGGAAACCTTTCCTCGTAAATAAGCTAGGAAATTACGAGGAAAATATGCTTTACGATGAACGTCTTTCGACGAAACGCATTTCCTCGTTATTTCCTAGTAAATGACCATTTACTAGGAAATAACGAGGAAAACCCGTCCTAGTAAAGGACGTGTTTTCTTGTAGTGCAAGTAAATATACACCCATCAAGCAAAACATTAGTACACATGATTTGTTGCTATAAACATTTTGTGAAAATGTACACATGGATAGTTGGAGATATATTTGTAAGTCAAAAAATGAGAATACAAGATAACATATGTACATCTAGTTGGAGTGAAATTTAGTAAAAACAAAGTATACATACGAAAACAGTGTACAAATCATTCCTAAGCATAAGTATCCATGTGTACAATCCGTTGTTAGTGTACACATATAACCATGTGGACACTATTAACAAACCACACACATCCAAACCAAAATCATACCTTAATATCATGTTATGCTTCTATTGCTTAACTCTCAATGTTAGTCATGAGTTCTCAATGATATCATTTATTTTATTCATTTATATGTTCAAATATTTAATTTAAAGGTATTAGGTGTTGTATTTGTATATTTTACATACACATGTCTACAATTTCTTTGCCAGACCTTCTACGTCGACGAGACATCTTGCAGATCCACCTTCAACTTACTCTCGCGAAATCACCTTCTCTTTCCAAATCGCTGTCTTCCTCATCTCTCTGTTTTGTTTTTCTTTCACTACTCTGCAAAAAGGAACACCAAAAATCTCCCAAATTAATAACACGGGAAAACTGAAAAGCAGTTTAACTTGGTTTATTTTCTACCTCGGATATGCAACTAGGAAATTTGAAATTTAAAACACAGAAAATGGTGAACTAAACCTAACAATAAGAGTACCGACATTTTCCTACTAGTTACGCTTTATAGGGAGACAATTTTCGTCTTTTCATACAAAAGCTGTCTCTGTAGAAGAAACTGCCTTATAATGACACGAAAACTCAAAATCTGTCCCCACGTGAAAATAACTCTTTTTTTTCATCATATCTTCAGTTGATGACCTACAACTCTTGGACGTGCTTTTCGGGTCACAAACATCAAGTCCCACATCCACATCACTCACGATCTCAACAATGATGTATGGAGAGATTTGTTCCTCACACACATTAAACATTCCATGTCCTGGGACATCTTGATGGTATACTCTTCTTAAGTGGCAAAAAGAATATCGCTTGGCAAAACATGATGGATTTGTCAAACTGGATCTATCGGACTCTTGCCCAAATCTCTGTTCCCCTCATCATTTCAAATCGGAGGCACCACGTGTGATGTTTGGATTCAAATCAAAAGCCAGTTTCACAACAACATAGAAGCTTGTGCTACCCAACTTGATCATGACATACAAATGAGAACAGACAAACAAACAATTCGAGTTTGCTGCCATAAGCTGAAATCGCTGGCTCATCTGCGCTCCAATGTTGATGCGCCGGTAAACAAAAGAACACTTGTCATGATGATGTCATCAAACACAAAGATCCATTTTCAAGCTTTTCCAGTGTTAAATCTAATGTTAGAGATGGAGTAAGTACGTCTTAAAAAAGAACTTATTAATCCAAGACGTCGAAATATCACTTGGACCCTTATCAGTATTTCTTATGGGGGTTCATTTTTCAATTTCATGTTAAAACGTGATGTCTCTTACGGGTTTCATTCACAAATCCGTGTAAGGTTTTTTCATCCCTCAAAAGGAAAATAATAATAAGTGAACATGCAACTGATATTAACTCTTTAAATGAAGAAGTAAGCAATTTACTAAACAAGTAAAGAAGAGAAGATACAATGTCGAGAAAATGTATGAAGATGATTCTAGCCGCTTCCCGACTTCAATGTATTACTCAACCTGATGATCAAGAAAGAAGAATATTATTAGAACCAAACACGCCAAGAGTTTGTCTAAAGGTACATGTTGCGATGAAAAAAGGGGCGCTTACCAGTCCAATCCCTCGAAAAGCCCCTCGCCTTTAACAGCACAGGTTTTGAAGATTGCCCACTGACGACTCTTAATCTTATGCAACTCCAAGGCTTCTGTCACAGCAGCAGCATCAAGTGCACCAGGAAGATCCTGTTCAGTTACAAAGTTTTGTCACCAGAGATGTTTATAACGCATGGAAAATATAGTTCGTAGACGAACCAGCCAAATGTTATCAGAAGAGCTACCAATTTAGATACTACTAACCTGCTTATTTGCAAATATGAGAACCACCGCACCTTTCAATTCCTCTTCCTAAAAAAAACAAGGTTCAACAGAGGAGTCAGAGTTAGATGCTGACAGTGAAGAGGTACACTCAAATAAGTTTTAAGATTAGATCGTGATATCTTGCTCCATTCCATCTACTTCCAACACTAAATACCTCAATTTTAGTGTCACCTATTAGACTTACTAGAAATAAAAACTAACGAAACAGTATTTAACAATTCCTAAACAAGAAATTGAGCCAATATTGTACTTCCAGTTCCAGTCACCAGAAAAGTTTTCTTGATTTATCATAGAAATAATTCAACAACAGTATAGGATAAGGAAGCCCTCAGCGGCAGAATACCTCCAAAATTGCATGGAATTCCTCCTTGGCCACCCCGATTCGATCTGTATCGCTAGAGTCAACAACATAGATCACTGCTTGTGTATTCGGGAAATAGCATCGCCAGTATGGCCTGTCAGTCACAATAACAATTAAGATATTTTGGAAGCACAAACAAACAACTATAATCACCACATAAGTTGTTTCTTCATGGAATTTTTCCATAGTTTCTAGAAAAGAGAAAAGGAGGTCCATTAAGCTACCTGATGCTCGTTTGTCCACCTGCCACAAGAAATTTATAGTTAATAATATTCAAACAATCCACAAAAAAAAACGTGGTACTGATCAATTCATCACTTTTTTCGAGCCTTTTTTTTTTTATCAACCCATATCTAAATTTATATGCGTGATTAGATTTGTCACTGAACAATATCTATAGAGAGAAACATGGATCTAGTCAAATGGTTTGATCTTTGATCAATCTAATGCTTACACGTGTTCTTAAGAAAGCGTACCTAAATCCCAGACCTGAAACTTGATACTATTGTACTGCACAGTCTCCACGTTAAATCCAATAGCTGCATAGAAAATTCCACGTGAAATCTCAAAACCCTAAAATCACATCAAATAGAAGATCTAGAGATGGATGAATGAATTACATACTCGGAATCGTGGAGACAACTTCCCCCATCTGAAGCCGATCTGCAATCAAAAATCGAAAACCCTAAGTAGCCAATTTTATAATCAAACGAATTGGGAAAGATAAAGAGTGTTTACAGAGGATTGTGGTTTTGCCAGCATTGTCGAGACCGAGGACGAGGATACGAGCTTCTTTGTTCCCAAACACGGAAGAGAACATCCGCGTGAATACGATTCCCATCTTCTTCTTCAAAGGAAGATCTAATAAGAGAGAATCTTCTTCTCCTCCTCAACCATTCGACCTCCTTCAGATCTTTGAAGAAGTTAAAACAATCCCGATATATTTTCAGTTTTTTTTTTTTTTTTTCTCTTTTGTTGTCTCTGAGAGGCTTTCTATGGACCCAAATATTTGTAATGTCCATTCTTTACTAAACCAAAGATTGTTTCTGTACGCGATTTGGTTTCCTCAATACTCAATATTATCACCCTCACATTATATTTTCCTAAATGTTATCAGAAGTCTTGTCTCTCGAAAAAAAAACTAAACATAATTTCTAAAATTTGTAGATTTGAAAAAAAAAATAGTATTGATTAAAATTGATAATTTTTAAAACAGTTTACATAAAAAAATTTAAACTTTTATTTTGTTATAAAATTTTCTAATTGTAAAAGTATACTAAAACCCTATTTCAAAATCTATAAAAAATTTATATTATTATATTATTTAATATTTTATTTAAATACATTTACGGGGGTGTATTGAAGTGTGGATTTTAAAATTTTGGATGGATTTAAAAAGATCAAGAGGTTTAAAGTGGTTTGGAGTAAATCTCTTTGGTTTTAAAAAAGAGAGAAGTGATTTTATTAAGATTTCCCCTGAAATTTAAGAGTACTTTAGATCATTGATTTATTGATCGATTTAGGTTTCTTGATTTATAGTACGCCTTCACGAATGATAAATAACTGAAAAGACCTATTTATGCTCTTATAGCAAGAAAACATAGTGGAAGGAAAAAACCAGAGCACCAATCTACTAACTTAGTTTGCATATTTGGAGCAGGTAGTCTCACATAAGAATACTTTCTAAAGCTTATGGGCGTTGATTCAGTCATTACATATCATATCCCTGCAACAAAAAAAAAGTATTACATACACAAAAACTTTCAGCTAATTAGAAAACTTCTAACAATAAAATAGAGAGATCTGAATCAAATTGACATTGGAAAGCGATCCTAGGAATCTTCACGACGATAACTCCAAATACCCTTGTCACTCATAAGAAATTCTCAATTCTCCCACCAATAAAATATGCTTTCTTTTATGTTTATTTTTAAATACGAAAATTTGTTAAAGACATCTATAACACTAAAAAAATCAGATAATTACATGATCCAACCACATAAATCCGACCCACCCAAATTCAATTGGATACAACCCCGTTACTAAACCAAAACACTGCGTTTTTCCTTTCTCTCACGCGTTCCTTTCTCTCTCCCTCATTCCTTTCACGGACTCATCTCCTCCCCTTCTCTGGCGATTCTGAAACCCTAGCCTTCGTCGCATGCGTTCGTCCTCCATCGACATCAAGAATCCATCAATCTCTCTCCCTCTCTCTCTCTCGTTTCTTAACTTTCTCTTTGTCTCTATTTGAGATTAAAACCCGAAACCCTAGAGTCGAGATCCGCTTCGTTTCTTCTTCTCTCCACCGAATTGACTCTCCATCTTCGTTTCTTCTGGTAAGTGATTAGTTTCCCTTTGTTTGATTGTTATTAGGTTGTTTTGTTAGTAGATTTGAAAAATAAATTGGGGATAATTTGTAAGTTGTAGAAGAAATTAAGGTAGTGTCTTAATAAGCAAGATTGTGGTTTGAAATTCGGGAAGACATGGTGAAATATTAGATTTGGTATAAGTTTGAACATAAACATAGAAAAAGTAGCGATTTTTATGGAGAATTGGTTACTGACTCTTTAAAAAGAAACTTAAAAATCTGTGGGTATTTTCTTATTGGATATGAAACCGAAATGGTGATTGACTCTTTAAATGGTAGGATAAATATAAACTAAAAGATAGTTGGTGATTTATTGAGTGAATGAATGATTTGAGATTAGGCAAAGTAATAATTCTGGGTTGTGCCTAAATGTGTGTTGTTGTCATTGTTTTTGGATGTTAATAGGAAATAAATAATGGCAGGTAAGGGTGGAGGGAAAAAAATGGCTGAAAAGAAAAGTGGGAAAACCACAAGAGCTCGAAAATCTGATGATGCTGTTGTTGAAGATGATGTGGAAGAGCTATCTGAAGGGAACAATAGTGATGATCTGCGTGAACCCCCCCCCCCCCCCCCTATAGGTATAACATTCTTTTGTATTATAGTAATAAAGTGTCACTGCTTGTGTGTGTGTTGAATTAATTATCACTGCTGTGTATCAGGGAATGAAATGCCAAAAAAGAAGCGTCCATCTACTGGAGTTGGAGTTTCTGGTAGAACCACAGCTAGAAAGGTGGTGTCAAATGGGAATGAACCGGTAGAATAAGATGCTCTCCAGCAAGAGAGTAATCTAGTGAGAGGAATGACTGTAGTTTCGCTCTTACTTGATACCGAAATGTGCAGTCTCCTTTCACAGAGGGAAAGAAGAAGCCTAAAACAAAGGCTTAAACTTATGTATTAATTAAGTATTTAGCATGTTTCTTGAATGTTATGTTTCTTCTTTTGGATGTTATGTTTTTACTTTTGGTTGTTACTTGTTAGAAATTTAAGTAAAGTTGTTGATATGTGTTGAAAAACAGGTATGGATAACTCTATTTACAAGTTAACTTATGTCCAAAAATGAGTTAAATGGAAATTGGTTTTACTATTACGTTTACTAAGTCTAAAAACCAAATGTTTTACACTATAAGTGTATTCGTATGTCAAAATCAAAGTTGTTTTGAATGAGAAATGGAGGTTCAAAGTGAATGTTATAAAAACCTTATAAAACTTTAGATTTGGCTAAGTATAAAAACTAAGCAAATGTATCACTTTGGATATTTGGGTTTGAACATTGATTTAGATGATTAATTGGACTTTCAATTTTTTGTGAAGTTATGTTTTACACACACATATATATATATATATATATATATAAGTATATATTTAAAATTTCTAGATTTTTATCTTTGTTTTTTTCCAGAAAATACAATGAATAATAAAATTAAACTCCACTTTAGTATAAAAATAAATATTTATAAATATTTGTTTATTATTTTTGTGCTTTAGTAAAAAATAATATTAAATTAAAATGTTAAAAACAATATATTAAGAAAATGGAAACAAAATAATTGTTATTAAAGGCAGTAAGAAATAAATTGTCGTGAAAATTTATGTGAATATAATACATAAGAAATTGACTTTTCAAATAATATTATAGGGATTCAGAATGTACTGGGACTATGCTTGAGTTCGATATAGCTATTTGTAAAACGTTTAAATAGATCAAGAGATGATTACAAATAGTTATAGCGAAGATCTATTGAAAAGATGGCATTTTCAGCAATAAAAAGGTGAGCAGAGAAAAACCTAATCTTGTGCCGAAAAATGTATATGTTTCTGAATGCCTTTCTTGATTTTCAGCTTCTCTTTATATAGTGACCTTCCCTTTTCTCAAAGTCGGTTAAACTTTGGACTGTAAAAGAGGGCCGATCTAAGTTACTTGATGTGCCATGTTAAAAGATGTAACTTATCTGCAACACAAGGTTGCATGTTCAAGTCTCTATCAGTACGGTGGTATACGCTTTGATTACTGCATGCGGTGGAAGCTAGTCACTATAAAAAAATTTATCCAAAATAGTTTCTTAACATTTTCTACCAAAAAAACACAGACGTTACAACACCTAACAACAAGAGGTTTATTACAAATTAAAGCCAACGTATATCTCGTGACTATAAACAAATGAAACAGCTTTTTCAGAAAAAGATTCAAGAACCAGACAATCAGGATTACAATATATGAGAGTTCAAATTAGCCAGTTTGCATATGAAACATAATTCTTTTAAAAAACGTTGTTAATTTAGTAACATAGTCGTAATCTACTCTTCCGCACGCTATCTTTACCTGTAGCAAAAGAGTTTAGGGCTTAACGCTCAACCTCGAGAGCTACCACAAGAGGCCGGTTAGAGATCATAAGACGATTCTCTTGTGTGGATCTCCAACAATCGAGGTCATCTTCTGCGCTTCCTGTATGCACTCCATATATATAGGTGTAACTTACATTTTTTTCCGGGTGGGTGAGCAAGATTGAGTTCCCACTTACACCACAACCATCAGGAAGCTCTTTAGCCGAGCATGAGAAATATCCCAAGTGTCCAATAAACAACAAACGGTCTCCTAAATCCCTGACAACAACCCATTGACCAGCCTTTTCATTAAGCCTTGTCACTCTTAATGTGACCTGACTAACTTCTGTTAATTTATGTGGGATGACTAGCTCGACCAGGAAAAGTTCATCATCACCACATGGAACCACATACTTCAGTGACTTCAGAGCCGGGGATGGCATCATAGGAGTCTCTTCCAGTGAATAAGGATCAATAACAAAAACGTCCCCGTTACGAAAGGCTGCATAAAATCTACCTCTGAAAGTGACCAAGTTCCCGCACGGACCATGTGAGATTCCATTAAGCCTTACCCACCTCATTTCAGCACTTTTTAACACAAACAACTCATGAGAATAGCCGATAAGCACAACGAACTCATCTCGTCCACTCTCCATGTTTAGCGGAAGAAAAGCCACGCTTTTGTGACTTGACCTTGCCCATAGTTTAGGTGTCGGGCCAGTAATTCTGTACTGGAGGCCCAGAGAGAGGATCTGGCAGTCGAGCATGTTCGTAAAGGTTGGATCAGATTCTTCCATATTCATTTTCACTGAGCACAGACTATGGGATGGAAGCGCCGTATGATACTCTGAATCATCTTGGCCTACCCCTCCCAAGAAATACACATAAGCTGAAGAAGAATCAACAGGAGGAGCTCGGACTCTAAAAAAGAACAACGGGACCTTCGTGAGAGTGCACAAGACGTTGCTTTCGTCAGGTAAATCGTCAAAGCCAAACGTGGGAAGAACGTAACTTTGCCGTAACAGGCAAGAAGGCAATGGAAACGTGGATCGCCACGACCTGCAAACAGACCGAGCATGAACAAGTTGGAAACTGTTGTCCAGATGCATTGAGATGACGTGAAGTAGATCTTCAGGGAGTAGAGACCAATCTGTCATATTTTCTAGTGGAGGTGGAGACGGGTTTCCAAATTTGAAAGAACAATTAGAACTCTAGGTTTTAGGAAAAACATAAAGGAGCACGAACAGATAATCAAAGTTTACCAACAAAGAGTGTTTGAATCCAATCCAAGAATCATTAGAATAAAATCCTATAAATTTGAAAGACGGTCTTTCCCACTAGAAGCAATCAAGTTCCACTCACGGTATACAGTATTAAGATATAACTTAATTAAGGAAAGAAGTACAGACCTAACGTGATGGGGACGGGTTTGAAGTTGCCGTAGAATCCTTGAATAGGTTTCTCTTTCTTAACTCTTTTATTTTCTGTAGCTTCCGTTTTTGACCCTAACTCAATCCTTCTCCTTTATATAGCTTTTGCAAAGCTTAAATGGGCTTCAGACCACCACTATGAAAATCAACAAGGGCTGATTTTTTTATCTGGAACCGAATACCATACCGGATCCAACCCAAAATAGACCGTTTCAGATAGACACATATTTCACCGATGGGTAATAGTAATGAATATCCATGATTTATCGGGTTGGTTCCGATTCTTACCTAGGTACCCGTTTAAACTGAAGGTTATGTTTTAAGAACATGGACTTTTACCTCTTGAGCTTTGAATCCGGGTTGATAAGGTAAACGTGCATCTACTTTACCACTAGACCACTCCAATTTTTTTGTAACTACTTTCAAATTATATATAAATATATATATATATATATATATATATACATGATTTGTGTTTAAATACTGTTTATTTTCTTTTAAAAAAAATATTAATTTTAGGTTATTATCTTAGTATCTGAACCGACTTAGAACCAGTTGGAACTTATCTGAACTAAAACTCAGTCAAGTACTTATTGGATATATTTTCTCCGATATACTCGGAATCGGACCCAATTACCTGAAGCCGCATGCCTACAATCAACCATTATGTAGGTAAAAACTGATAGTTCATAGCGCAACACATGATCGCAGTCGGATCACTACACACATTTATGATTTGTACTATAACATAAAACCTACAATTATTTTAAATTCTATACCCTACAAAAATAAACAAAGTTAAGACCAAATCATATATTAATCTCTTGTTAAGCAAAGGTGGGCCTATGGATGATAGGCATAGTAACCCACGGATTATGCCCTGTTTGACCCGCTATGAGGGTGGTGGTGATAGGATCGATTTGAAAAAGTAAACTGAAGTTGAATTTATTTTAAGCAGAACGGATCAACTAAACTTGACAAAAATTCAAAAGAAGTTTTTTATAAAAATATATTTTCATAAAAGTATATAAATATTATAATATCTATATAATTTTAATTATAAATATATCATTATTTTATAAAATTTAGTTATTATATGGGTAAAATAATTATTTTAATATAAACCATTATTACCGCAGTGGATTTCTTAGATTACACATAAATTTTAGGCGGAATAGTGTGGGTAAAAGATTTTGTAATTTTGTTGGTCTTGACATTCTGTAAATTCTTAGCCAGACATTTTATGATTGTATTTTGGTACTTTATATATCTACCCATACACACACAAACACACAAATATATATATACTAGGGAAAACTCGCACTTCTCACGGGACGTGAAATATCTTTTATTTAGTTATACCAAGAAAATGTTTGATTATATATGTGTGTTGAAGTCTTTTTTGTATAAACATGTTCTAGGTTATCGTTTTTTTGTAGTGGTGGGAAAATGGAAGGCGATATGTGGAGTATGAGTGAATATTAATATGTTTATAAGATATTACGTACAGAGTTTTTGTATTTATCTTGCCATCTTCACAACGTGCTACGTTAACATTTTGGTGTGGTGGAAAAAGAGAATATGTGAGATTTTTATTAATTATGATAATGGAAATAGAAATATGACAACATTAGGGTACATCAGTTACTTTGAGGTGTCCAATCCTGATATCGGTTCGGTTGATTCGGTATTTTGATTTATAAAAACTAGTTACCACATTAAAACTAAATTTAATTTGGTTTGGTTTGATTTATATACCGTCGCTTTTTCGATTTATTTAGTTTTGTTTTACCCAAAAACCATAAATATATTTATCCTTTAAAATATTTTATGAATTTTATTTTATATGATTAGATATCAGCTTTAAATTTAATATAACACGACAATGTTTTTGGTTTTTAAATAATCTATTTTTATTTTTATTTTTATTTTTTACTATTTAAATAATTAGTAAGTATATTTAGTTAATAATAGTAATAGTTTTACGGAATAGAAATAAGAAATATTAGTAATCCATAATACTATTAAATAACTAAATATTATCACACATATTTGTCAATAAAAAATAAAAATAACTTTTAACTTAAAATAAAGTATTAAATTCTTCAAATCAACGTTTAAGTATGAGGATCACATCGATAAATAAATCATGTATATTATTAATTATATTATATAATTTACATATATTTATTACTACTACTAGTTGATTTTCCCTTGCTATTGCACGAGTATAAATATTTTTAAAGTAAATATATGATAATAACTGATTATTATTTCGTTTTAATTTTAAATTAATTTATAATTTGTATGCATCATTTATATTAATAATATTATATTAATTTAACTATACTATAATTTTATATATGTTATATCTAGTCAGTTTTGTTGTTTGTACGGTTAATTTACTTATCATTTGGATAAATTGGATTGCATCTCTGAATTCAACTGTAATATTTTTAAAATATATTAACTTTTAATTATTTACTTATTTGCATATAGTGGGTGGTGTCTTAGATATGTAACTATATTTTAGGAAAACTTTTATATATAAAAGACAGTTTTCTCACTCTAGGTTGAGCCACGTCACTAAATAGTGTGACCAGAACGTGACACGTGTCATGTCCAGTTTTATATCATTTTATACATGTTCTAAGTGGGCTTCTCCTAAACAAAATAGTCTCTTAACAAAAAAAACTGGCGATGGCGATCTAGGGTGCGATGATTTCAAGGTTGGGTTTCTGGTGAGACAGGGGCACGGAATCGGAAGAGAATTTGGGGCAATCAAGGATTAGGTTTATTGGTGTACGGAGACTGTAATGGCGGAAGGGAACAAGTGGAGTTTGGTGAAAGAGAGGATCATCCAGATCGACAAATGATTCTCTGGAGGATTGGAAAATCAGGACTCGAAGTCGGAGAAGATATTGCTAAATCGTTGTTTCTCATTCCGACAGAGGGGATATCTTCACAGATCCTCAGATCTAGAATCTCTCGACTGATTCCTGTTATCATCAATACGGAATCACAGAATCTTGGTAAATTGATTACTCTGGATTCTCGAGCGGCTCTAATAGAATATGCAGTTCTGGATAAATGGTAAATAAGGATTTGGAGATTTCTTTTGCAAAACGTTGCTGTGGTACTAAAGATACTGGGGTTAATGGTCTCAATCAAACAGATTTGTTCATATTATTATGGTATCAATTATAAATGATTATGTTAATGGGGATCTTGCTACGGCTTATGGTTGGCATATCTTGGGAATCGTATAAATTAGGAGACATAGCTTGCACTTTGTATCGCATCTCTCTCATTACTATATACATCTCTCACGCTTTCTTGGGTTTTTTCTTTTTTCTTGTTTCAATGGCGCAGAGTCAACTTATTGGGAATTCGGGAAGAAGGGAAGGGAATCACAAGAGGATCAAGATCTCAGTGCCAGACTTTGACAACAGGGCCCAAATTCAGAGCTATGCAAGGACCTTGATAGGCCGTTGTATGAATCGAGCTAAACAGGACGTCACGGCTCTTGTGGTTAATTTACCGAAGATTTAGAGTTTGGAAAACCGAGTGGTGGGGACAGACTTGGGACTGGGAAAGTTTCAATTTGATTTCGAGGAGGAGAAAGACATTGAAGCAGTCCTAAGCAAGCAACCTTAACATTTTGATTACTGGATGATATAATTGGAGCGTTGGCAACCACGAAGGGAAAGGTGTTATCCCTCTGAAATTACTTTATGGGTCAAAGTCTTGGAGGTTCCTCTTGAGTTCTGGGCGGCCCAGACATTTGAGAGTATTGGAGAAGCTTTAGGAGAATGGTTGGAGGTGGATCTGGATCGTGGAAGGATCAAGGTGAGGCTAGGCGGATACAAGGAGCTTGTGTTTGAAACCACAGTGGATTTCCAAACCACAGTGGAGCCTGTGTTTCAGCTTATGCCATGAGGAGATGATTTGTCCATTAAATCCGAAAAGCATTGCCAAAAAGAAAGAGGTTAGAGAGGAGCATTTGGGGAACCATGATGACCGTGCGAGAAGCTACAGAGGAGTGGTGCTCAATGGTAATACTAACCATCAGGAAAAGGGAAAAGGAGCATCGCGACTACACTAGAAAAGGAAAGGGCAAGATGTATTAGGAGCAGGAATCTCAATGGGTCCGGGTGGCTGAAAGAGATAACAAGAGACCATACTCCACTAGAAACAACAGTATAGGAGAGGCAAATGGTTTGTCACAGAGATATTCAAAAGACCGTAGCAGATCTTCTCGCGGTATTGTAAGAGATCGGAGTCCATCAAGTAGAGGCCCGCATGATCCAAAGGATGACGGGGAAACTTCAAAAAAAGCACCAGTGAAAATCATCGCAAGCGAACAAAAAAATGCTTTTTCAACTCAAGAGATTACATCAGGGTCAGCTTTGGGCTCCACAGTGTATCTACTTCTCTTACAAAAGAGATAAGTGATATAGAACCTGTTCCTGAATTAGGTGGTAAGGGGGAACATATTTTAGATGGGACTGATATGGAGGTTGAGGAGAACCAGGTTGAGATCGAATGTAATGAAAACATGGCTATTGGGGATGATGAATTCCAGAATTTAACTGATGGGGATGTGGAGGAAACTGAAATATTGCAGGATGAGTTTATAGTGGAACCTAATGACATCACTCAGGCTGAGGAGACAGGGGCCAAGAGTGGTACTATTGGAGAAGAGGACAAGAAGAAAGGAGCTCGGA